TGTGTTACTAAGCGCGGACATCTTGGTTAGAGTATGCTGAGAAATTGTTGGGAGGGGGGGGGTAGAACTGCAAAAATTCTTCTGAAGCGTGTTGCGCTTATATTTGATTTCCCGGAGGCTGCACAGGCATCAATATAACTAACTAAGTCAAGCGATGAGGGCCAACTCAGTCAATCAAAGTGCCGATGGCTGCTTAACTGCGCCTTGGCTTAAATTCATCCCGGCTATGCTACCAAAACTTACATATTACCCGTTAGTCACAAATACATGAGCGGCCGGAAGGGCAGGGGAGAATACGCTTGCCTTTTATCAAAAGACAGAATCCTGACATACCACGATAATTTCGAGGGCATGCGAGTTGTGTTAGAGCAGGGGACAAAGGCATCACCATGGTGTCCCACGAAGCATACATGATAGTTGAAGCACATATCCATTCGAGTTAAAAAGGGGGTAGGTGTGCAATTGCATGACTAAAACTTAAAAAGACTATCGTCTTTGAGAAGTACCTTACACCAACTAATACGAAATGTCATCAGATTCGATTAACCAAAAAACAAGTATGCTATGGCATTTTCAATGCAGATAAATAAGCTGACAGAACGGAAAATATGAATGGAATATGTCAACCAAGGTAAAGCAAAAATCACTTTGTGCTCGAAATAAATGAATATCTACGAGAATACAGAAGACGATAGAATCAACAAAATTAGGATGTACCTAGCACACCAAGAAATAACAATGTGCAGCCTGAAAACCATAGATAGTGAAGCTATTTGATAAGATAAAACTAACGAGGCGTAGGGGAATTAAATCAAGCAAAATGAATTTCAAAGCCAAAAATATCGCTTAGTACTAGACAAAAATGGCTACTGGTGTTTACTTGCAGTGGTTACGAGAAAATATTAAAGAAATAAATCTGCCCGCCAATGTCTTACCGCGAATGTCTGAATGGTTTCCAGCAAAAAAACCGCACATATAAAATCCGAAGCCATGCAATATATTTTAGAGTTGTACGCTTGGAGACTTGGCGGTATTCCAAACTCCATTCTCAAGAGAGTGATGAGCTTCCCACGACAGCCTTAACATATGCTATCAGACTATCGTTCAAAGGGATTTATCCTGACTCATGGAAAACCTCTATTATTCTTCCTGTCTTTAAGGCAGGATCTCATCCGGACGTTTATAATTATCGAAGCCTTCATAAATCTTGAGAAAAATATTTTAAATCACATTCTCGATTTAAGTCAAGAAAGCATATCGGAGGGGGTTAAGTAAGTTAAACCCTAGCAACTGCAATCTTCAGACCATGGGAAGAGTAGACGGTGGAGGACAGAATAGTAGGAATACTGTATTGTGT